CACCCTCGGCTGACCGCCACTCAGCACTCCAGTGATCGACACACTGAACCCTCATGACAGCCCTGCAATTTAGGTTCCAGTACCATCCCCACTGTGCAGACGAAGAAATTGAGGCCACACAGCTTGACTGGAAGACACAGCTGCACTGTGGACCTCAGCATGGACACCAGCTTAGGAATTCTATAGGACAATGAACTAAACAGGCACATACACAATGAAGTTCAATTTTTAAAATAATAAAGACAACTATTAGGATGACTGTGAAGGAGGAGGAAGAGGACGGGAGAGGCAGACCCAGAGTCTGAGAGCCACGGTCATGGTGGATTTTCATAGCTGAGCTGAGGACTGTGCACACTGAATTCATTTAACCTTAAAAAAAAAAAATACAGAGGTACATTCTAGGTGTCTTTCTCATGTTTGAGAGTAAATTTGCAATTTAAATATACAATCACAAATACCATTACAATTTTAAGACGAGAGAGGACGGCAGGCTCACCTGTAGGAATGGCACAGGACAAGGAGGGATCACAGGGCAGGACACAGGCTTGGTCATGGGCTCACACACAGGGGTCAGCAGCTTGCGACTCCCTCTGCCTGGCCCTGTCTTGAGCTGCATCTTTTCCAGGCCATTGGCAGGGAAGAAACATTACAGGAACCACTGAACAAGTGGTGACTGCAATGAGGGACAGCAGGGACATGGCGAGAAGGCGCAAGAATGTCCAGGACACACATTACTCCTCCCACGGGTCAGCACCATACGTGGCACTGAAGAAGTTCCACCAGCTGAGCGGCTGGTCCAGGAGGCTGTGTCCGATTCCTGCCCTACACCTCCCAGATCTGCCCTCACTCATCTCTTTAATGCTGGATATCAAAGTAAGAGGTGGGGGAGGTGAGAGGTGCAAAGCTCTTTAAGACCAGAAGGGTAAGCAATCCTAAAGCCTGATAAACTCTAGCCAGCATTAAAGGATCCTATGGCCAGAAAAGCCTTATGTCATGAAGCCAACAAACACATCTTCAGAAGCCCAGTCCTGTTTATTCATCCCCTACCCATGAACAGCAGCCACAACCAAAACAATAACAAAATAATGATAGATGCCATTCACTTGACAAGCACTATCTCTGATCTCACCACCACTCTGGAGGGCTGTTTACTCCTACTGCCCAGAAAAGAAGACTGACTGTCAGAGAGGGCACATTATACTTGGCCAGGTAAGGAAGAAGCAGAGGAGCCAGGATTCAAACCCAGACCTATAGCACCAGAGCCAAGGCTGCACCCCCACTTCCTGCCCTGAGGAGGGATTCCTGCACTGTGTTCCCTTCCCATTCTGCAGATGAGGAAACTGAGGCTTCTTCTCTAAAAGCTGGGCCATACTCAGGAGACTGAAACAGAATACAGAGATATACCGGGTGCAACTTGTCTGGTACTGCAAAAGCAGTACAGCTGAGATCTGACCCCAAGCAGTGAGACTTCAGAGCCTGAGTTCTTAACCTCTTCACATCACTGGCCACCAGACACTGGGGCCCAAGTCCCTCCTGGGCTGACCTGGCTGACCCTGTACTGCCTCTGCTTCTGGCCACCTCGGAGCCCCCAGCTGCACATCTGAGCCTAAGGAATCCCCTGGCACAAGGGCAGTAAACAACCACTACCACTGCTCCTGTTTGATGAGGAAGAACAAACAGGGCCCTCTGCCTAATAGAGGAAGTTCCTGGACTGACACAGGAGGCCTGCCCCAGGGTTCCAGCCCAGCCTGGGTTGAAGACGGGCTACTTCCGGTAGCCATCCTGCAGGAGCAGGACTAAAGCCCCCTCTCAGCCATGAGGCCGATGGGCATTGCCCCTTTAAGCTGTTTGTAGCTGGCTGGCATGCACGGTGGGTGAGTCAGCACCTAGTGCCCGCTGACTCACCCACCGGAAGCCTGGCTGCCCCAGCCAGCTCCCCACATGGCCGGCTGAGAACTTTGCTCCCTCCAGGGCCTGAGCCACAGGCTGGCTGATAGAGAGTTTCCTGTGCGTCACACCAGGGGTGGGGGAAGTCCCAGAGGTGCCACCCTCCAATCTTTCCAATAGCCGGCACAGGAGGAGACCTGCAACTACAGCAGGAGGCCCAGGTTGAGACAATGCTCCCTGCAGCTTTACTGGACAGCCAGAGCAGCCATGCTAAGATCAACTATGCAGTGCCCAGCAGTGGCATTCCCAGACAGCAGGGGCAGCAACATGACACAAGGACAAATGCAGCTTGCAGAATGAGACCCTGCTGACCACGTGTGCCCCTGCACATTGTCCCCAACACCAGTTGCCCTTGGCATCGGATGCAAGGAAGCAGACCTCATGCACTCAGGGAAAACTCCCCAGGCCTGTGACACGGGGACAGGTTAGACAGCTGCTGCCAGGCAGGAAGCTCAAAGGTAAAGCTTCAGTAAGGTCTTGTGCCAGCCACTCCCTGCTTTGTTCAAATTCCTTTGACAAGGTGGAGAAGAACTCTAAGCTGGGGCTCAGTGCCCAGAACAGGGAGGGCACTGGTGAGGACCCTGCTCTGTAGATTCATTTCAGTCACTCTCCAGGAGACCTTAGCTTTCCAATGGATGGGATTGCTATGACCGTGCAATATGACAGCTATAGAGTCTGTACACACAAGAGGTGGCACTTCCGCCTTGGTCCACACTCTAGGTTTGGCTGGCCTTGAGGAGACACCACCAGGCACTGGTGTCATGCAGGGAAGGGATGGGGCATCCTACAGCTCAGCTCAGGCACCCTGTGCAAGAAGGGGACAAGAGAGCACTGGGAGGATACTGTGGGGACCAATATGATGAGGCCCTACCTCCACAGTTATGTGGTCTTGTCAAGGCATATGGTGGCCTTCTTACCTGTCAGGAACCGATGTGAGCGGCACATGGAAAAAAACCTGACATGTGGTAGCTCTTAAGATTTTTGGTGACAGGATATTGTGGCTCCCCTTCACATTCTTCTCCAGATCCTAAAAAGGCTACAGGGTCCCCCAGGGTCAGGGAAGACCCTGACCTCCAGCCAATGCACCCAGCATCATCTGTTATCTGACTCCACAAGCGGGAAGTCTATCATGACTGTCTGCAGAGAGGCCCAGGGACAGCAATGTCAGGCTTCAAGTCATACTGCACATGGGGGTCAGTCGCACTACCCTCCATTCCACAGCACCTTTTCCTATCACCATGACCCCCCTCTCCCATCACTAACACAACTGCAACTTTTGTTCTGATGAGGCATCTCCTGCCTGGAAGAGATGCCTCCAAAAAACAAATGCTGCTCCCAACCCTTCCCTAGCTCTCCCAAGCAAAGTGTCTGATTTCCAAAAGCGTCTGATTTCCCGGTTCCCAAGTCCCACGAGGTCTGAGGATGGCAAGTCCCTCCCCGCCACCTCCCCAGCGAGTGCCTCCGAAGTTACTCACAGTGGTTAGGCAATGGTCAGGGATCCAGCCTCCCACTTATGTAAGACATAATTACTCTGCCCACCCGCCTCAGCCCACAGCCACGACAGCCGCCAGGAGCAGGGGCCAGGAAGGGCCCACATCTTCCCCAGGACCCCTGGGTTTCTCCAGGTCTGAGCTCCTCCAGGAGGGCCCCCTTCCTTATGAACCCTCTGAGTGTCTGCTGGTACCTTCTGCCCTCTCTGCTGCAATCCAAAGATAAGGCCCTGACCTCACCTGGCTGAGGCCTTTCCAGCAAGGAAAGTGGCAACAATAACAAGGTTTGCAGTGGCTGCTCCTTCCTCTGCACCTACTATGTGCTAAGTGTGTGCTGAGTTCTTTACAATCTCACCCACTTGCTTAAAGCATTTCTGCAGTCATGACCTTACGTCACATTTCTGATGTTCACTTTATAGATAATGAAACTGAACTCAAGAGACATCAAGAGGCTTGGCCGGGTGAGACAGCAGCAGGTTGAGAGAGCCGAGTCAGCCCATTCATTACAGCTATGTCCGGTCTGGGACTCTCACAACTTAGCTTACTGAGACTCCAACTTGCCAAAAAAATCTCCTTTCCTCTTCCTGAAAAAATCCCCCTTTTGCCCTCCAAGTCTCGTCCTCCCCCTTCCGCGTGACAAATCCTGCTGCTGCGGCTGCCCCAGCCACCACTGCCACCTCACAAAAATTTCCAGGAAGGCCAATTACTTGAAGACTAGAGCAACCCCCTTGCACAGCCAGCACCCTGGTCTGGCAGCCAGCCCAGGCCTTGGGCAGCAGGGACAGGCTGCTGCGAATGGGGGTCCACCCAGAAGAGTCGGTGGCACAACAGGGAATGAGCTCCCTAAGTGCAGAGAGCAGTTTGCAACTCAAGGAGCCCAAAGGAGGGGGTTGCGCTGGGGAAGGATGAGAAGCCCAGTGGCCATACAGACAGGGCTGCAGGACGGAGTGCAGGCCAGCCGGGTAAGTCTAGTGTAGAAATACAAAGAACTGTGAGAGGGGAGAAGAGGGAGTTCTGAATTGAGGTGTAGTCAGGGCACCCGCACTATCGACACGGGGAAATTCCCAACAACAGTAACATCTGTGTGGCCCAAATGGAGACTAAGAGTTAAATCCCAGCTGGATACAGCCCCGTTGGGCTGGCGGAGGTGCTGGTGCAGCCCAATGACCCACGCAAGAATAAGAGCAGAGTAAGAACGAGCACACCTGGGACCAACTGAGTTTCTGCCCAGACTACCACCACAAGGCCTCAATGAGGGGAGCAAGGTGAGATTCCTAACCTGAGAACCTGGGGACCTGGGGACCCAGGGTGAGGAGAGCAGAACGAGGTTCCAGTCTGGGAGTCACGGCACGGGTACAGTTCCAAGGCCTAACTAAGTAGGAGGTTTAGGTAAAGATCACGTCTGGGGCCGGGCCGGGGCCCAAACGAATGGGTTCTGAGCTGGAGTACTGCTTTCTAGTCCTGACAAAAGATAGAATGGGACCACACGGAGGTCGGTGTTCACAGCCTGACCCGATTCGGCTGGGCGCAGGGGTCAGGCCGCGGTGCCAGCTGCGCGCCTACCTTTGGACTGGGGCATGCTGGAGGGCTGGCTCGAAGCAGGCGACTCCATGCTGCAGGCGGATCTCAGGAGGCGGCGGCGGCTAATCTAGAGGGCAGCAGGCTCCACCGGGGCCGAGCGTGCTCATGGCTGCGGGCGGACAGCCCAGACGCGGAAAAAGAGCAGAGGCGGCAGCGGCGGAGACAGGAACGCGCCCGCAACAGGCGGTGCCAGACCTAGACTGTGCAGCGCCGCGGGGGCCCGGACCGTCGGCGCCGACGCAGGCTCCGCCCAAGCGCGCTAATTGGCCTTCCCGTCTCCAGGGCCCGTCCCCCGCCTATCAGACGCCGGCCAGGGCCTGCCTGTCAAGCACAAGCCTTGCCGCCCAGGAACTCAGGTCCAGCCCCGCCCACCGTCTATCAAGCCCGCCGGCCACTCAGAAAACCCAAACCCAGTCAGGTTCTGCCCCTCCTCAACCAGAACCACTTCCCTTCGCCTGCCCGTCCAAACGCAAGCTCCACCCCCTCCCTAGAAGTCACCTCGCCCGCCTCCCGCCTGTCAAGCACCGGCCTGGGCCCTCGTATGCCTCCGTTGGCCCCACTGGATCGCCCCCGCCGCGGTCCCCTGCAGGCGCCCCGCGTGGACTAGTCTGTGCGTCATCTGGGAAAACCCTGAGATCCCGAGGGTACCCCACTGGACGGATGCTGCGGCAGGGTTAAAAGTGCACTCCTGAGACCCGGGTTCAGGTCTGACTTGGCAACATTGTAGTCCCGGTGACCTTGGGCAAGTCGGTGACTCCCTGAGCCTCCGTTTCCGCCTGTGTGTGAGCGGCGATAACAGCTCTGCCCCACCCCACCCCGCACAGCTGATGAGAACAGGAGCCAGGCGATGGCGGGAGGTGGATAAATGCTTGTTGATCGACTGCTGTAAAGAATTTAGCACCTTGCCCAGTGTACACACATCTATGTCTTATATCAGCAAGCATCTGCGAGAGCGCCAGCGCGTGCCGGGCACCGTGCCAGGGCGGGAACGCAAGGGTGAACCCGCTGGTGTCTAGTGATAAGTCAATGCATGTAGCTTTCTTGATTGTATCATTAGAGCCCTATACAGGGGGAAACTGAGTCGCAGAGGATATAAGGTATCATTTCAACACATTTTACACCCTTTGGCAAGCCATCCTGAGTTTCCCTGGCCTTGTTTCTCCCCTGTCTGCTTGCTTATCTATATAACGCCCACCTAAGCCAGCCCTCCCTCTGTTCCTGCTTAGACCGTGGGGGATTTCAACAGTAGTATTCTAGCACTGCAATCCAGTGGCTGCGTGGAAAGCCAGGCTGGGCAAGGGCAAGAAAGGCAGGGCAAAGGTCAAGGGCCCAGCCCCTGGCATCCAGGCAGGCATGAGTGTGTGTTCTGTCAGGGACTTCACGTGAGGGAAGCAGATTTCACCACCTACTAGGAATGCTGGTAGCAACGACTGACCTCTGCTTGCCTGTGTAAAATGGGGACCCTGCAGGGCCCCACCCACACAGTAGTGGGGAGGACCAGATGAGATAAGAGGAAAAGACCTTATAATTACCATTGTTCTCTTCCTGAATCTCTTGCTCACTCTCTCCAGGCAGTGAGGTGGAAATCATGAGTTTTGGACTAAGACAGGCGTGGGTTTGCATACCACCTCTCTAGCTCACTCGCTGAATGACCTTGGAGAAGTCACTGAACAGCTCTGAGCTTACTTATCCAGGGACACAATGAGGGCTCTGAAAACATTTCCTGTGTTCGGGCTTAGAAGTACTTGATCTAGGGCCTGGCACTCGCTATGTGGCCAGGAAATAAGCTGGTAAATCCACTGCGGACCACTCCCAACAAGAAGCCTCCTCCACTGTACTGCCCCTAAGTGTCCAAAGCACCTTGGGATCTGCACTTACCCATCTTTAACGTGGGCACCCAGCAGCAGCTACTTCCTTAGAAAACTACAGACCTGGTCCAGCAGGTTTTCTGGGTTCAGGCCCCTGCCAACTGTTGTGACTTCTGCTCCTCCCACCCACCCCACCTACTCACTAAGTGGAAGGGTCTTAGCACTGCCTCTTGAACATACTAAGGCCGCCCTGCCTTTTTCCCCAGTCATGGACTCAAATCAGTCTTAATTCTCTGTACAGCCCTCAAGCCACCAATGACTTGCTTTACTGACTCTGTTTCTGATGCAGCTCTCCCTCCAGACTGTCCATCTCTCCTGAGCAGGAATCGTACCCATCTTATTCCCTCTTGCATTCCCGAGGCATAGCCCAGAGCCACGCATAAAGTAGGTGCCTAATAACTATTTGAAGAATGAAGAGAGGAAGGAGGAAACCATGCCAGAGACAGGGATGAAGCGACTCTAGTCCCATTCCAGCCCCAGGATGACTCAGACATGGTCCTCACATAGAAGGAGTTTGTGGCTTAGTCAGGGAGCTTGACAAACAACCCAAGAATCACAAAACTCTATATGGGGTTCTATAAATAGATGCATGAGCAGGAGTCCCAGGAAGGGACCCAACTCCACCTGGGTGGGGCCAACCGAGCCTCCTCAAATGAAGAGACCTTGACACAAGACCTTTAAGTCCCAGTAGCAGCTGGCCAGACAGAGACAAGAATGAGTATCTCTAGAAAAACAGCAGAGCCTGGCTGGATATAAAGGCCTCACTGAGGCCCAACCATGCTGCAGTGCCGAGTGCTGGGGTGAGGAACGAGGCGTGGGTGCCATAAGCTGTCTTCTCTCAAGACCAACATCCACTGGCCTCTGTCTGCCTCCAAGGCCTGCACTCAAGCCAGAGAATGCCACAGGCTCTCAGAAAATGGAAAAGTCACTGGACAAGGGTTGCACTAGGCTGCCTGTTGCCAGTGCATCTCTTTGCAAATGGTGGGAAACTGAGGCTTACGAGAGGGGAGAATGTGGCCCAAGTTAGTGTGTGGGTATGACTGGGCTAGAGAGACAGGAGTAGTTCATTCATTCATTCATTGAACAAATACTCACCAGGTAGTTGCCGTGCACCCAGCACTGCTGCCACAGCATGGAACAAGGCAGAAGCAGCTCCTTGTGCACAGGGAAGAATGACCTGGGGGACAAAGCAGACACAGGCCATCAGGGCATGACAAATGCTGTGGGGAAGAGTAGAAGAGGCACCAAGGAATACATTTGAGGGTGAAGGCTGTCATTTTAAAGAGGGAGATCAAGAAAAAAGTGGAAGGGGACATGTAAGCAGAGACCTAAGGAGGTGAGGGATAGGATGAGCATTCAAGGTGGAGGGGCAGCATGTGCAAAGGCTCTGAGGTGGATGGCTCTTGGGAGAAACAAGGTGACCAGTGTGACTGAATGGTTGGAGGCGAGGGACTCTGTTTTTCGATACACACCACACACATGTTCACTCGGCCGCCCCAGCAGTTTCACACCCCAGGTACACACCCACATACTACAAACAAAATGTGGTTCACAAGCAGGTGCATCAAAGAGTAGCTGCCCAGAGTATATGCACCTCTACAACCTCATACCCAGCCAGGCACACCTAGCTATGCAGCCGCAACATTTTGGCCCATAGCGCCCTCTGGTGGCCACATCTAGCACAGCAGTGCTTGGAGATCTGCAGGACCTGCCACCTTCAGGGCTGGACCAGCCAGTCTCCTCCTTCCCAGCACCTTTGCCCCAGGCCCTTATCCTGCAGCAAAACAGAGAGCCTTCCAAAACAGAGTTGTCCATGCTCCAACCCCTCTCATGGCCTCCTAGGCAGAGAACTTCCAACACTGTAGCCCTCCTGACGTCTCCAGACATACAGCTCCCTGCCTGAGCTTTCCCCTTGAATCTTTCTTTGCAAAGGTTGTTCTCTTGGCCAGAAATGCCCTTCCCTATCTTCTCTGCTTGACACATTCCCACCCTGCGCCTCACCTTGCCAGTGCCCCTGCCTATGCCCTCTCATCTGGATCATCGCTCTGTTTTGTCAGTGACCAGAAACCTATCTGCCTCTCCTGCAGGATTTGTGCTGCTTCAAAGCAAGGGTTGGGGCTGGTTCTCCCCAGCCTAACATTGGCTGTGTCCTGGGAAAGGGAAAGTTGTCCCTCAGTAAGTTTGGAGGCAAGTGGTAGCTTGTTATTCAAGGTTTGGTTCTGAAGCTGCAACAGATGGTAAAAACTACAGGGGCTCACTTGCTGATTTTATTTGTTTATTTATTTTGTAGTACTAACTATTGAACCAGGGCCTCGTACATACCGGGCAAGTGCTCTACTACTGATCAATACTCCCATCCTTATTTAAATTTTGATTTGAGACAGGGTCTCCATAAGTCACCCAGGCCTTGAACCTGCAGTCCTTCTGCCTCAGCCTTCCAAGTAGCTGGGATTACAGCACCCACTTGCTGTTCTTTAAATGGCCACCAATCTTGACTATCAAAGGATGAAGGCCGGGGATTTAGCTCAGTGGAATAAGCACCTGCCTGGCAAGCATGAGGTCATAAGTTTGATCCCTCACACCAAAAAAAAAAAAAAAAAAAAAAAAAAAAAAATCAAAGGATGAATTCAGAAAGCAACTTGGCTCTACCTGCAAAACAGCCAATACCACATTCACAGCACCTGCTACGTGCTGATCCCTCAAAATGCATCCTCTGTGGGCTCACTGCAGTGTCCACACACAGAAGGTGCTCAGAAAACATTTGTGGAATGGAGGGATGCTCCCAACACCTCATCAAAGAGTATGCTATGATTGTGTCCCTTTAGCAGAAAAGAAAATAGAGGATGAGAGGGGTGCTGGAGTATATATACAAGGCTGCTGTTGTTCCAACTCCAAACTGTCAAATGCAAACAGTTTTTCCCTACCCTTTCCGTTAAAATGATCCCAACACTCTGATTCTGAGCAAAACAAGCCACCTTTGATCCTTCTCAGCTGCTTTCTGTGCTAGACCCCTGCCTGTGATAGAACCCGGTGTCTGGCCCACTCTTTTCCCTGCAGTATCGCACAGAAACCCTGTGGACCCTGAAGATGCCTGTCTAGGAATCCAAGGATCCTTGATATGATGACTCCTGCTCTTATAGTGCTCAGACACGTGCTTTCCTGCCTGGAAGGTGGATGACCAATCCTGGCCAAGCCTGGTGACCTGACACTCACTCTAGTGAAGCCAGGATAAATACATCTTTATCTCAGAGATGAGAAAACCAAACCCAAGGCTGAAAGCATCTTTCCCAGATCTCATTGCCAGAAAGGTGATAGCAGATCACGAATCCAGGGCAATCTACAACTGCAAAT